GGTTAAAGAGGGCATCCCTTTCTTGTTCCAGTACTTAGAGGGAATGCTTCCAATTTTTCTCCATTTAGAATGATGTTGGCCTTGGGTTTAGCACAGATAGCTTTTACAATGTTGAGGTATATTCCTACTATCCCTAGTTTTTCTAGTGTTTTGAACATGAAAGAGTGCTGCATTTGGTCAAAAGCTTTCTTTACATCAATTGATATAATCATATGATTCTTTAAGTCTATTGATGTGATGAATTATGTTTATTGATTTCCATATGTTGAACCAACCTTGCATCCCTGGAATGAACCCCACTTAATCATAGTGCACTATTTTTAAATATGTTTTTATGCAATTTGTCAAAATTTCATTGAGAATTTTTGCATCAATGTTCATCAGGGATATTGGTCTGAAATTTTCTTTCCTTGATATGTCTCTGTCTGCTTTTGGTATCAGGATAATACTAGTCTCATAGAATGAGTCTGGAAGGGTTCCCTTCTTCTTTATTTTATGGAATAATTTGAGGAGTATAGGTATTAATTCTTCTTTGTAGGTCTTGTAGAACTCAGCTGAGAATCCATCTGGTCCTGGGCTTTTCTTGATTGATAGGCTTTTGATGGCATCTTCTACTTCCTTGCTTGAAAAATTGACCTGTTTTAATTGTGCATGTTCTCCTGGTTCAGTTTGGATAGATTACATGCCTCTAGAAATTTGTTGGTGTCTTTGAGATTTTCTATTTTATTGGCACATACATTTTCAAAATGGTTTCTAATTGTCTTCTGTATTACAATGGTGTCTGTCATGATATTTCCTTTTTCACCATGAATTTTAGAAATTTTGAGTTTTCTCTCTCCTTCTTTTCATTAGGGTGGCTAAGGGTTTGTCAATTTTATTTTATTTTTTTAAAGAACCAGCTTTTTGTTTTAACAATTTTTAAAATTGTTTCTTTTGTTTCAACTTCATTGATTTCAGCCCTGATTTTTAATTATTTCCTGTCTTCCACTAATTTTGGTGTTGTTCAAATAAAATGTGATGGGTTTTCACAATGCACTGCAATGAATCCATTTAAATATTATGTAACTGCTTCATTACTCCATATTTTGGTATCTTGTCTGTTAAATGGGAATAAGAGTGGTACCTACTGTAGGCTCCTGGGAATTAAATGAGATAATGCAAATAAAGTTCATAAAAATCATTTCTCTTTATATAATAACCACCCCAAAAATATCACTTATTATTTAGCATTCATTTCATGCTAGAGACCTAACTCATTTCTTCATAAATATTGGATCATTTAATTCTTACACTAATTCTTTAATATAGGTATTCTTGTATTTTAAAAAAAAGAAAACTTGAAATTCAGAGAGCTTAAGAAACTTTTTGAACTTAATTTTTGTTTTCAATCCACAGTCTTCAACTCCTCCTTATACTTAATTAGAGCTCATTAATATTTATACAGGCACTCCTATCAGAAAGTTGGAAATTATTCCAGACTGTTCCCTCCCTTTTATCCCCTGCATCCAATTCTTTACTCATTCTGCCTCCTAACTTGTTATCTCCCACTTCAGACACTGTTGGCACCCTGTTTCCCCTGGACACACATCACAGCAGCCTGTGTCAATTGTTTCTGACTTTAAGACCTCAAAATTCTCCACCTAAGGGATTCAGGTTTCTTCGAAAACCTACTCTGCGTATGTCCAAGGCAAGCCTGAAGTGTCAGGAAGCTAGTACTCTTGGGAGAGAACCCCAATCAATGACAGATGGGAGTTGGCCCATAAATAACCTTTGACTCCCCTAAATGAATGGGGCAATGCTTAACACACTCCATATAGGGTCCTAGCAGGATTCAGCTTCAATTCCACCATGGGAAACGGATCATTCTTGCATCCTCTTTTGCTTCCTTCCTTCTGCCACTTCTCAGACTTACTATCCTATTTTTCTGTTCTCCAAAATAAACTAATTGCACTCAACTATTGTTGTGTCTGCTTCTCAGATAACGTAACTTAAGACATCTCTCCATTCCCTCTGTACGTCATAAATTCATTTTATTGCACTTGAACTGTTGAGCAATATCCTAGCTTTCCTCTCTCAGTCTTCAATTTTTTTTTCCTTCAAACCCTTCCTTCAAAGAAAGTTTTCAAAAACATAAATATGATCACAGACTTTCCCTGGCATGAAACTCATTAGTGACTTACATTGTATGCATGATAAAATACAGTCTCTTTAGCAAGGCTTGCAGGGCTCTGCATAATATCAAGATCCTGCCCCTGCCTGTCTTTCTGTCCTCACCTTCCACCTCTTCCCAGCACCACCCTGTGCTAAGCTCATATGGAAAAATGCACACTCCTTCAGATGCACCATGTCACTCCAATCCTCTGTGGATCAATACATACCTGGCATGTCCTCCACTTTGTATGATGTCCAACCAGTGAGCTCATAACCATTCTCCACGTCCACTTCAGTTCCCCACAGAGTAACAGGAAGACCACATACCTCCAAATTTATGCTAGTCACATGGCTCCCTATTTATTTGTCACTATGTCCATCTCCCCCACTATACTAAAGGTTGCTTGAAGGCAAGCACTCAAATTCTGGATCAGTAAGCCCCCAGTGTCTCCCCAGCACTCCCCACAGAGATAGTGCTTTTGGAAATTGTGTTGCAGTAATAAATGGCTCAGTGATGGAAGGTACAAAATCTAACAGCTGGAACTCTGACAGATGTGCGCATTCTTAAAGTCTGTGTTCTTCCTACTGTAGTGTGATCTCTAAGGGAGAGAGCAGGAGCCATGATATTCTGTTGCGGTGACACACAGACTTTATTGTACAAATGCAATGTATTTGCAGTCCTCACACATTCAAATGTATAAAAATAAGGAAGAGTGGTCTGTAGGGGGCCTACTGAAAGAGCCCCACTCCCAGAAGTTTCATCAAAAGAGGAAAGATCCATTTCTCCTTTTGCATTGTATCAGATCGACACCTCAGGACTCCCTCCATTTTTTTTGCCCTAGTAAGTTAAAAAAAAAAATTTTTTTTTAAGTGCCTTAAGAGAATACAGCCAGGAAATTGGATCATTAGGAGAAAGGTATCAAAATTGTTCAACTCTCTGGAGATGGTGGGAGGTCAGGAGCAAAGAAGGAGGCTAGGGAGGAAGGCTGGTTTACAGGCTGCCACTGGAAGGGAGAAAGGAATCCAGATGATTTTTCATGTAACTCAGGAACAATGCATTTGTGCCTTAATAATTGCCTCTTTGACTCGACCTGAACCAGATATTAAAATGAGGATCAAAATTACATCATCAGTTTGGAATTGAGATAGCCTTCACTCTAAGGTTTTGGAAACATCTCTTCAACTGCTGTCCTTACGCTGGGGTTGGGGAAGGGGAGCAGGAAGACAGACAGTCACGGCTTAGCGAGTGTTCATAATGATAATGAGAATACCTCTATTGCTGCCCCAGGCCCCTTCTTTGGGTGAAAATGATCTGATTTTTGGTTCTTGAGCTCTCTCTACATAAATCCAGATTCCCCAGTCTCTAGAGATGCCTATTTCCATGGACCCCCAAGGTGGTTCCAATCCTTCTCTTAGCAGGCTCTTAGCTTCTCGCTATCTTCTTTGGGTACTTTCTCCTTGGATCAGGCCCAGTTGTCATGAAGGAGTCTGGTTCTAGTTCCAAGATAAATTTAACCAGTTTGATAATAAGGACTACTGTTATGTAATTGTTATGCAACTTATTATTATGATTATTATTTATCCCTCCCTTTCTATCTCATTACAATTATTTAAGGAGGTTACTTGCAATGACTTCTATATAAAAACATCAGTTGAATTTTCTGTTCAACCCTAGGTAACAGATGGGTAGTAGATGCTAAATAAACTTTTTTTGGTGGGTGGGAGGTGGTGCTGGGGAGTAAACACAGGGCTTCCTGTTTGTTAAACACATGCTCCACCCCTGACGTACACCCCAGCTACAATAAGTAATAACTTTGAAAGTCTTAATGCTACAGTCAAAATACCCAAGATTTAATCAAAACACCAAACTTTATTTAATGTCTGCTCTCCCCTTCCTCATCTAGAGACCTGCAGCCTTAAGTAAGGTGTAGTCTTTCTTTCTCCTGCTGAGACTTCACCCTCCAATGGCCCTGATCTTGCCAATTGTTTTATTATCAGGTCAGAATAGAAAGAAGTTGGAGTGGAAAGAGGAAATGAAGAGCATTATTGTCGTAGATGAGTGAGGCTTACTTCTTTCCCTTCAGGTATTCCTTTGTTCTCTAGAGTCTCCATCAGTTTTGCTTGATCCTGAAAGATCTACACTCCAAGTAAAAAAAAAATCTCAGGGAATATCTCTATTAACCTTCAGCTTCTTATTGATGGGTATCACTATTGAAGGTGGCCACATTCCTGGCTTTGTGCACTCTCTCTCTCTCTCTCTCTCTCTGTGTGTGTGTGTGTGTGTGTGTGTGTGTATGCACGTGCACGCATATTTGTGAGTCTCTTCAGCTCCATTAGAAACAAACAAGCATCACTTGACCCTACAAGTACTGGAGTCCCAGGCACATTTTATCACAGCAATCTACATGTTGTCACTAAGGCCTGACTCAGCAATCCAGTCATCCAACCAAGCCCTTCAACTCTCCCCAGTGCAAGGGAGTGCTTTGCAAATGCTCTGTTCACCCATGGACATCTCTCACTGGGTTTGTGATGAAAGGGATAATTCATATGCAGCCCACAAATCACAGAGCCATTAAGGAAAAAGAGTTGGACCAAGCTAAGGCTAAAAGATGAGCTGATTCTTTTCCCCTCTTCTTCATAGCCTCCTTTACCCCACTTTGAAGGCTCCTACCAGTGCATGTGTACACTACTTTCTGAAATTACACATTCATTTATCATGCAAATCAATAAATATTTAGTCAACAACTACTGAATGCCCAGCCCTGTGGTGGGCATGATAAGTTCATTGGGGGAATCCCACATAGATTTTAAAGGAGCTCAATAGCCTAATAATGAAGAAATGTTACAAATACAAATATTGATCTTTTATGAAGGAAAATAAGGCCTGTCATACAGATGATCTTACAGTAGACTATTCATTGATAATACAACTACAAGTAGCCTCAACAGTTCTCATGCAGTAACAGTACTTCATGCTCAGCTGCTCTTCTGTTCCATGTTGCCATCATCCCTGGAATCAGGCAGAAGGAATGGCCCCTGTGGGACATGTTGGCTTTATGGCAGCATCAGGTGGAACAGCACAGAGAGCTTCTGTATAGAAATGGCACACCACTTTCTCTCAGGTTCCATTGACTAGGGAACGTCATTGGCCCCCTCTGATGTCAGCAGAGCACCAGGGAGAAGACATGGGGATAGACACCATTGCAAAGGCTGCAAATATTTGAGAAATATAATACAATTCATCACACGCATCATGAGAGAGGAATGGAGAAAGTGGTTTCTACTGAAAGTAAAAAGAAGAATTTCTGGAGGAGGTGATGTTAAGCTGGGTTCTGAAATATTGGAAACTGGATGAAAATGGTTAAAGGAAGTAGAATTAGAAACTTGCAGGTATGAAGGCAACGTCCTAGGAAATGCTGGGCAGAGGGAGCAGAGTAGGGGATAGGAAAAAACAGAAATAAAATTGAAATATGATTATGGAATGTCTTAAATTCCAGCTGAGGTGTCAAAACGTTGCTATGGAAGCAACAGGTACAGAGTAAGGGCAGGAGAGATATGACAAGGGATGTGCAGAACTGTGCTGCAGGTAGATTAATCGGGTCTGAAAACAGTGTTGCTTGGACAGGACATGAGTTTAAGAACCTACTTTTGCAGACCTTCCCCTGGCCCTTCTCACACCTTCTCACTTCCTAAGACCAGTTCACATATTCACATTTTATCTCTGAAGATTGATTTGACTCTCTCATGAAGAGCTAATTGATCTTTTTTCTTCATATACACAGTCCTTTTCCATTTTGTCCTAAGTGTGTGTGTGTGTGTGTGTGTGTGTGTGTGTGTGTGTGTTTGCCCATTATAGAAATATTAGTTCTGAAACATAGAACTATGTTTGGCCTTCATTTTTTGTAGTTTTTTGTTCCAGCTCAGGGCTGCACACAGCTTTGTTTGTTGAAAGGACTTTTTGAATGAGGAATGACCCAGAGGCCCAAATGGAAGTTTCCTGCAATTGTTTTTTAATGGAGTGAAGACTGGAATGGAAAAGACAGATGAAATATACTGATTAATATTAAATGTTTACGTGCATATACTCTTTATATGGCTAGTAAATATTAAGGAGGTTTACTCTATATTATACATTTTAATATACTGCCCTTTACATTTAATATTAATATCATATGAATGAAGTCAAATATGTCACACTCACCCAAGATGGCATATATGAGCTTAGTCTGACATTAACTGAGAAACTACAGTGCACTCCAGTGAATAGAAACCCACTTCTCACACCATGTCTTATGCACCTTCTCTATAGAAAGGGATTAATGAGGAAGTTCAAATAGGGAAGGTCCAAATGCTAAAACTCACTTTAATATCCAGAAGGCAAATTAACCATAAATATGTTCTTGCCTAAAATTCCCAGTTGTCATAATTGCTCACTAATGATACTTCTCCAAGGCATTCTGGATTTTGCAGTTCTCTGCTTCATTAGGACTGGGAACTTGTCTGGTCCCAAAGAGAGTCTAAGTCATAATGTCGAAGAGAAGAATATAAGTCTGGACTCCTTGGAAGAGAGACTTGAGGTGACATCATTTTTCATCATTCTTTCTCTGAAGGAAATAATAGGGATGGTGTAGATTACAGAAATCCAAATCCTGTATCAAGGCTGGAAAATTAAGGGAATTCCATTCAAACTGGTATAGTACAGAGGATGGTCTACAGAATCACTGGCAAACCTCATGACCTTCAGACGAGCCAGTGCATTAGTTTCCTGGGGTTGCTGTAACAAATTACCACAAACTGAGTGTCTTTCAAGAAGAGAAGTATATTCTCTGGCAGTTCTTAGAGTCCAGATGTCCAATACCAAAAAGTCAGCAGGGACAGGTTCTCTCTGAAACCTCTAGTGAAGGATCTGTCTTTGTTCTGGTGATTGCTGCAACCCTGAGCATTCTTTATCTGCATCTTCTGTATCTCTAATGACCCTTGTTACAAGGACAATAGTCATAGTGAATTTGGGGCCCACAGTAATTCAGTATGACCTCAACTTGATTACATCTATAAAGAACTTATTTCTAAATAAGGTCACATTGACAAATTGCTCATGGACATAATTTTGAGGAGAGCCCCGGATCAGTAGGTATTTGAAGAAATAACTCAAGTACTGAGGGGCGAATGCCCTTACCTACCAAAGCTGAAAGCCAGCCTCATAAAGGAATGACACACAAAAGATTGGAGATCTGAACTTGTATAGCCGTTTGACAAGTCCAAATAAAATTAAGGAGAACTAAATTAATATTCTTAACCAATGTCTTTGAATTCATTTCTGAGTTCTTTGTGTGTCAATGAATTTATGCTATGTCTCATCCTAAAGAATTGAAGTCATGAAATTATGAGGATTTTAATATTCCTAAAAGAATATTAGTTATTCCTCAAGGAAACTAGCATCCACAATGTAGATGGAACAAGTTTACACATGTAGAAGTTACCTTATGGATAACTTCTGTCAATAAGTCAATACACATGTAGAAGTTATCTTATTGAAGACTTCTGTCAATCATAGCAAGTAGCAATTATTTTCCCTATGATACAAGTAAGGAAACTAAGCCTGAACAAATTGCTTCCTTTTTCCAAGGTTATCATTGCACATATTTAACTGCATTCTGCTTTTGAATAGAAGTAAATATAAAGTTCTAATCAAATTTATTAATTCGATTAATTTATGCAAAATATTACTAAGAATTTCACTTTCTATGACTGATGGAACCTGATATTCATATTATTATTTAATTCACAGATTAGTTAGGGCAGAGATTATCCTACTCTTTTTAATGTCCTCCATGAAATCTCATAGCATAAAGAGTTCACAGACCATATTTGATGGTGGAATTGCAAATTGTTTTCACAAATCCTTAAATCAGAATTCATACTTCAATCCAAATGAACTGGAAAATACTATTAAAAGTCGTGAAATCCAATTCTGGTTTACAACCTCCTAAATAACGACCAGGTCATTTGGAGGAACTCATTTCTCTAGTTCTCATCTGCTAAACCAGAGCATGGTACTGATGTCTCTCTTCATGCCCTTTTGCTTTATTGCTTTATGATTATAAATATTTCCAAACCGTAATATCCTTCTAAAGCTTCTATGCAAAAACCTATAATCGATTAGAAACATGTTTTAAGGCATTTTAAGTTCAAATTTTTATTTGACCACAGCCTGATTTCTTTCAGACCCATGTTAATTTATAAGCATGTGCAGTGCCATATTGAGAATAGATGAAATATTATATTGCCTCCGTGCTCTCTACCAATAGCTTATTTCTTTACTATTGATGCCTCTTGCCTTCTGAATATTATCTTCCAAGAGAGTTAAAAATGTTGAATGTATGTACACCTAAGAAGAAGGTGCTTCCTGAAGCATATTTTTCCCTCCTTGTGGGTACTGTTCCCTTGGACTGACCACAAGACCTCCTCCCCTTGGAAGAAAACCTTGGGTCCATGTGTTTGGCAGATGATTAAAGCAAGCTCTGTTTACAGGTTTTTCTTTTGACCCAGTAAAATCAGAGAAAAGAGAAAGACCACATTACTGACTTTCCTCTCTGCAAGGATTTTTAAACCTTTGGAACATGGATGTGATGACTCCCCAGAAAGAGCACTTTGGATTCATGTTGGCAAGCACACCAGTAAATAGTGTAGCTGGAGAAACTGCCTTCAATAAGGCTTTGTTTTATTTTCAGTCCTTAAATAGGTCTACTTCTTAGATGTAGGATAATTTTTTTTTTTACAATGTCTAGGGTTGTAAGGAATAAGTTTTGCATCCTTTGGCCACAAACAGAAATTCACCATATCTGAAATGCATAGACTTAAGTAGTTCCAAACAAACTGTTGATTTTCCATCAGTAATTCATAAATAAATTCTTAAATAAATCCTATTATTTTGGAAAAAGATGAATTTATGACTTTATGTGATTAGTAATTAAGCATTAGTTTCATGTGCATCCATTCGGGGAGATGTATTGATGAAATAATTGCTTTTAAAATTATTTTATTTGGAAACGAAATATTTGAAAGAAAGAAACTAAATTGCTCAAATCCGGGTTTCTTAGGTTTGGGGATATTCTTGTCACAAAGAAAAAATCCCATCGGTTATAAGCTTTCAGAGTTGAAGAGAATTTTTTGATTCACTGTGATGGAGAGAAAGCTATCTTCCATGACCAGAGTGAGTTAGTTATAAAAATTGTTTGATCATGTGGAAAACCTTTAGTCTCAGGAGTCAACATAAGCAAATAATATAGAAAATAAGAGGAAATTTTTTCATGTGAAATCTGTAAATGATAATATATTTAGCACTACAGATAAATAGTATTGTAATTACTATAATATAAGGAAAAAGTAATTTTAAAATTAAAGTAAATAGGGTGGCCACAATATCCCCACTGAAGAGAAGAAGAAGGAAAGAACAGATCAAAGTTTAAGCAGTTAGGAAGCTATTATAATAGTTGGTACTATTAGACCCCACCAGGTGACTGACTGCCCAACCTGTGTATTGGGTTCTATGATTTGTCCAATTCACCTGTCCCACTGGGCTCCTAGCAGCCTCCTTGACACTATCTCTTCGGTCCTGTATCTTAAGGAACTGGATTTTTAACTTTTCTTTGAATTCCTAAGGAAGGCTTTGGTATCCTTCCAACAAATGTCCTTTTTAACTAGCTCACTAGAACTGTTTTCCAATACTTGCAATAAAAATAAATTCACCAAGATAGTTAGCTATCAGCCTTGCATGAGTTGCAGGAAGAGTTAGCACCAGTATGGTATTATTCAGCAGGTCCTGTGTGGGAGAATCCTCTGGCTACTGTGACAGGCTGGTTACTCATGATGCTGAGACTTCATTTCCAGGAGAAGAAAGTTACTCCACGGGAAGCTGATTACTCTCAGAGAGAATTCTTCAGTAGTGACACCTGTTTCCTGAAAAAGAAGCCATCTTCAGTCAACCAAGTGAAAGAGAGGATGCAAGTTACTATTTCCTAACCATCTGCACTGGTGGTAAATTAATGCCGCCAGATTTAAAAAGTCTTCTTCATTCAGAGCACTCGATCCTCATTTTGGTAACCACATTATATGTATAATAGGCAGTTTAGATCAGTACTACTTGGAACTCATTTGGAATTTATGGCTTCCCCCAACTCCTGTTTTCTGGATTCAGACTCAATTTATGGCTTGGAACACAGTGTTTCCTACAGGAAAAACTTTGAAATGTGCGGGAGAAAAAAGGGCTCTTGGAGAATATTAAATATCTCTTACAAAACACCATGCTGATGAGTAAATGAGAGTGTAAATGAATCCAGATAAAAAGTATTGTGTTTCCATTGAAATACTCAGGGGCTTAAGAGTTAAGGGAAAAAGTTTTTGTGGGGAAATGTGTTTTAGGTTATGCCAAATACAAAACGTGTGCAAAAGCGTTTGAGATGTTTTTCCTAGATTAAGATACCGCCACATTACCCCTTCTCAGTAATTAGTAAATTAGACAAGTAAAATTTATGTGTAAATTCAATGCAATTCATGAGCATGAATAATGATCCCAAACTACAAACTGCAATTAAATACCGAATATTTGCAGAGTTGCCCTGGAGTAGATTCCAGGCTCTAAAGAAGTTGTGAATTAGGCCATGAAAAAAGAGATGAAGGCATTGACTTGCAGAATTTGATTTTATTTTAAATGTGGCTTTTGAATTATTTTGCATTGAGTCATTTTAAGAATGTGGATGGGAGATTAAAACTGAATAAACTATTTTAAGTGGACACAAAGGTCAAATTCTAATTCTTTATAACCCTTGAAAAGAACAAAAGCAATTGGACTTTGATCCAGCAAAAAAAAACATAAAATAAAAAAAAATAAATAAAAACAAAATAAAACTATGGTATTGAGTCATGATTGCAGATCTGCAATTGGCTACTCCTCCTCCTTTGACACTATGGAAGACCATAAATTCTTTGGTGTCTGGTTCTGATGTCATGATAGTGGGCACTTTTAAGAAGTGATACCAAGGAGAATTGTCCATTTCTATTCAACTATAACTTTTGCTGAGATCTTCTCACTAATAGACACTGTGCCAACTGCTATGCAGATAAGAGATGATAACTGCAGCTTCTGCCCTCCAGAAGCTGACAAGATCAGAGAAAGAGAAGACATACATTAAGCAAACCCATCATATGACCATTCTGAGGGTTACAAATTTAAGCACCAGGATGCTCCAGAACAGGGTTTGAAAAACTATTCATCAATTCTATTTCTTTGATGAAAGCTTCTCTAAGATCTTTAATCCATACTTACATCTACTTCATTTTATGAACTCTGCCTTTCTCCCCGACTTAGCTGCCAATCAGTCATTGTCATGGTCTCTCTGTACGACTTTTGCGGCTATGCATCCTGGTCCCTCTCCAAGTTCTTTGGATATAATGTCAATTTCAAGTGCTATGTTTCTTTAAATCTTCATCTACTGTTTGCATGTCATAATGCATGATAATTATTTGTTTATTTTTTAAAATAAAGCAAATGGTCATTGTGAAACATGCTCATTAACATTCACAAATTATTTTATTAAGTCCAACACATAATCTTCAATATAATAAATTCACATTTCACAAAGACTGTTGGGTGACATTCTCTCATGGAACAATGGAAAAAAATGTTACCAAGTGAGCTTAATTCTCACAGGGATCTAAACAGAACTGTGCATACTTTTATTTGTTTGGTAAGGATAACCCCACCCCAAATGTTTAGCAAAGCAGGATGATTCTCCCTAAATGTCCTGGCTACTCCTGGGAGGACAAATTTAAATAAAAATCGTACCCCTCACATTTTTATTATGACAACATCAACTATGGCCATAATTTGCTTGCAGTTTTTCCAAGCAAAATACAATTCTATGGAGGAATTACAATGCAAAGAGGAGGTTCTTGCTAAAGAAACACAAACTCCACAGTTAATCCATTATGCTTTGAGTTCTTATTCTAAACATGATCTAGTTATTTAGTGAGAGGGGTGGGTAAAGTCAAAACCAGACCAATTTTAGTCTAATACCATCAGCAAGAAGAAAGAGTTACCAGGATCATGTGGGTGGGCTTCCAAATTGCCTTTTCAAATGGTTCCCCTGACAAATGGCTGGAGTCCAAGTGAATACGCGGGGAAGAAGTATCAAAATAGCACTTCGAAAAGCTCCCAAACAGGGTCTATTTATGGGGCATTCTGAAATGCTATAGCTGACACCAATTACAAAGACCAAGCTTTTGAGAGTTGGCATAAAAAATAGAATGTCAACCTTTAGTGTGAATTTTTAGGGGTTGAGAAAAGTGCAGCGTTGTAGAAGTTACTTCTCCCAAGGCAGAAGGGGCTCCCCGACATAGTACTACTGGCAAAGTTATGAACCATTGGGGAAAAAAAAAATCCGTATGGAGTGAAAAGAGTGGAGAGATGCCATTTTCTTGAAGCTGGGCAACTTAGAATTCATATTGTCCCATGTGGAAAACAGCTATATCTGTATTTTTCATAATTCCTCAGAGAGTGATTACTACTCAGTAGTTCTGCAATGCTCTGACCCTTTGTTCACTCATTCGACATTTATCTTGCAAATGCCAGACATTGTGTTAAACAATGAGAATGCAATGATAATTAAGATATGGACCCTGACATAAGGAGCTTACCAATCAGCAGAGGAGACAGATATCCCCCAAGATGACGATTCTAAAAAAATGAGTTCTGCTAAACAGAACCTTGGCACTGTTGATATTTTGGGCTGGATATTTCTTTGTTGTGGAGGCTATCCTGTACATTGTGGAATATTTAGCAATATTCCTGACCTCTTCCCACTAGAAGATAGTAGCACCCTCCTAGGGCAACAACCAAAAATATTACCCCACACTGTCAGATATTCCAGGGAGGCAAAACCATGGCTTGGTTTTGAACCATTGTACTAAAAGCACATTCTAAAAATTGTGGAAGCCCAGAGAACGGAGTCCGTATTCCATGTGGAGGAGTCAGAAAAAGTGATGCTTGCATAAAGTTTTGAAATTCATTTGTACAACAAAATATTGAGCCCCTCCCAGATGCAAAGTGCTAGATTATGCATGAAGGTGAATCGTAGCCTCCTCAATGTGTAAGGGTCCCGCGAAACGTCGGAGAAAGAGACCACCAAGTGACCACTCATGCAATTGGCAGAAGGGGGATTTATTGAACCAGCATGCTGGGGCTCCATGCCCACTCAAGAAGGGAAAGCAGCCCAGAGCCCCGAGCAGGGGCTGAGCACTGCTTAAGTACACTTTTTGGGGAGGGCGGAGGGCTTTGTATACATCAGAACAAATCATCATGAGGCGTGGGAAAATTGAATAACAACTCCTAAACATGATTGGTTCATTCATTGGTGGGAACAGGTCAGGCTGGAGTGATAGGTCATTCCTAAGGAGGGGGTTACATTTAAACTGATTGGTCCAGGCCCTGCAATGCCTACGTGCGACCACACAGAGCCCTTATTAAACAACCAATAGTCAGGGGAAATATTTACTGGGCAGTTCCAAGCATTGTCTCAACAGCTACAGAAATTTCAGGTTTTGCAGGTAGCATAGAAACCTAACAATACCTAATCCTTTACATTTTAACTCAGACTTTGCAGCTTAGAAACTTTACAACACCCGGTCTTTTACCCTTTAACTTTTACGCTTTAACTTCAATTTCTTTTACCCTTACAAATGGAAAGGAGTGATGTACACGGAACAGAATCTTATGTTCAGGGAACTGCCAGGCGTTTGGTATCTGATTTGTGGCACTAAGGAAATGAATCTAGGGAGTTGAGGATGACACGATTCAAAAAAAAGACTTGAGCTTCATACCAAGAGGTTTAGGAATTGGGGTTTTTACCCTGTGGGTAATGGTAGGCTACTGAAAGATTTTAAGCAAGAGCTTCTTATGCATGAATCACACAGACTGTGTGTTCAGTTGGCAAAACAGTTTATGGAAAAGTTAAACATCCTGTCAACTACTGCCTGCCCTCCAACCAGTATCCATTGTGTCTGGGTCCTCTCACTGAACAAATCTCACAGATGATCTCTCAGAGCCTGACTCCTCGGCTTTAGAGATACTTACAGACATTCACTGCTGTGCCTTCCTCTGATAGACTCTCCTTCACAATAGCTGAGGGATGATGCAGATCTGCTGCTGCATGCTGTGTGTGCTGGAAGCACATTCCTCCAAGCTGTAAAAGGAAGAAATATAGATGGAAGAGAAATGCAAAACGATAAAGCAATCTGCAGAGTCCTAACTATTTTACCGATGCCCTAATTTCTAACGTCCAACGTCTCAATTTTCCTTTTTGAAAAAGTAACTTTGCTGCTTGGATCTAGGTGGCTTGTGGCAGCCTGCCAGGCTCCCAGATTAAGTGAAAGTCATTACAAAATGTTTTACACACATGGGAAGCACAGGGACTGCTCGGTGCTGGTTTGGCCCTCCAACATTAATTCTAATTATCTCAAAATGCAAACATGCTCAAGTTTCCAGTAGATGACATTGTTTTCTCCTTGACATCAGACATAAAAGAAAGAAAAATAAACATAGGACAGTGACAGCATTAAGCTGGTAGTCATTTTTCTTTAATATTTCAAATTCAATTCCAGACCAGATTCTCTGTTTCGTCCTAGAGATGAGGGTAGGAAGATTGCCGTCTTGCTCTGATGAAAGCCTTTTCTTTCCAGTTAGCTTAATTAAGGGAAAAAGGGAGGAAGCCAGGAGGAGAGCAGTCTGGTTTAGATCAGGGTTAGAGTCTTGGGTTTTACAAACACACCACAGATTTTTTGTTGTTTTATGTTTTCAACATTTCTCTGGCTTTGGGTAGAAAGGCCAGTTCCGTTTTCGAAATGAGCTAACCCCATGGGTCCGGTGACTTGGCACTTTTGTTCAATGTGTGGTATTTTTTTGATGACAGCAGAGCAGAGTCAGAAAGAGTCTGTAAGTTTCAACACAGTCTCCAAAACCTGAGAGAGGACGTGCAATTGCCAGGGCAAGCATGGTCCCTGGGTCCTCGAGATCTATAAATACCATCAAAGTTTGATCCTTTATTGAAACCCTCTCAGATCATGTGAAAAATTACTTACTGTGTAAATTCCATCTGCTATAGTGACCATGCTGTATAGCAGTCTTATAACCAGCTATCTAAAATTTCAGACTCATGCAGGGGCTCTTCTATATTGCTATAAAACACATTGTGTCATCTATGTCACTAAAATGCCTTATGTGTCAGCTGGATATTTAGGGTAGTCAGCTCATTCCAGTTTTTCTAGAACTTCCCTGGTTTGTTGGAGACCTTGGGTTTTAGCACAATGAGAGCCCTTCATTCCACGATATTCTTTAACCTCTGACCAACCAGGATCCTGGGTCACCCTCTTCCATAATAAATTGCAGATTATAATTCTTGGAGAGAGGATGGCAGTGTGGTATGTATACGAAGCTTTCATCTCCAGAGACTAGGTGTAATTCCTGTTTTACATTAGATATTAGCAGTTATTTTCCTCATTTACCCAACTCGTAAAACTGACACATTGCTTAGTCAATGTTAGGCAGGATGAGAGCTTCCAGTTACCATTAGTACTGAATAAGAAGCAAGAAATTGAGACCAAGGTGATCACTATTTCTCACTTCTAGTGTCCTACCAATAAAATTATTTTCTAATACACATTTGCATTCATTTCATAAGTACATGTGGTACCTGACACTGTCATGGATATTGTACCAGTGAACTTGTCCTTTCTATGAGGAGATACTCTCCATCAACCCAAAGATGATGCATGATGATGGTGCTCTTGCTCTGAGCCCACTGTATGTGGCTGATGATGGGAAGAAGTTAAGATAGCTGCTTTCTTCATCCGGGAGGCCAGTAGATACTGCTTAACTCTTGACATTGAGAATCAGAGGAATCAGAATTGAAAATTAAGTTCACATCTTCTCCTTCTCTAATGAAAAAAAAAATCAAAAAAAGAAACCAATTTAGAGAACAAGAGCTGTAAACAAAAGAAACTGCATGAAAACCTTAAAACAGAAAACAAAACAAAATGAAATCAAATGAAAGATGAAAGCATTCTTATTATGATCACAAACATAAAATTGAAAAACATGACTACATTTTGTATTTGACTGATACATTGAAAATAAGTGAATATAAAAGACTTTGTAAAGAAATCAGCTTTATTGAATTACCGATTGTTTGCAGTAAAATGCACCGATTTCAAGTGTAAATTTCCATCAGTTTTGGCAAATTTATACTTCACGAAAGCACACCATAACCAAGATGTAGAACTTCCCATTATCTCAGAAAGTGCCCCAACCCAGTCTGTTCCCCACTCCTCCTTCCCCTGGCACAAATCCCATGATCAGTTTTGTGCTAGTGATTTTGAAAATTTCAACTAAAGGAATAATTTTCTAAGACTCAAATAACTAAAATAATTGATGCAAAAAAATAGACAATAAAAGGAAACAAAACAGTAGAATACATTTTAAAAGTTAGTAAATAATGTCAGATGATTCAAGGAACAGAATCAGGCCATTGAACTGCTATCATGCATAGAAAAGGATGGGATCATTCTTGATTTATTTTTCTCAGGTGTGGAGTAAAATCTGACAGTGATATAAAAAGGGAACTGGGGAGGAAAGATCAAGGCTGGGACTAAAAAGCAATCCTATTTGTCAATTACATGTGAAAATTCTAAATCACTTTGCATTCATTCAATATTGAATAGATTATTAAAAAATACCTAATTGCTCTAACAGATTCAATTCTAGGAATTGAGTTATTTAATGTTAGTCAACCTCACAGTGTAATATGGATTTATTTTGACATATATATGTGTCAATTTTATCCTCAAAAATCTATAGATTTCATGCGGTTTGAATATAGTACAAATGGGATTTTTTTCCTTAGAATTTGAGAAATGGTCGCTAAAATCAAAGTGTTAAGGATATAAAATAAAATATTGCAGAGGTGAGGGCAAGGAAGGAGAAATGGACCTGCAAAATAGGAAACTATAGCAATGAGAAAACTTAGTCCAGGGCCAGAATAGACAGATAAGTAGACAAAATGAAATGTCCCAAAGGAGATATACACATAGAAGGATGCCATTTTCATATTCCTTGCATTTAAACGGATCTGTGTGATAAGTGGTGGCCAGTGGAATGTCAGGGAAAAAAAATGAAGGAAATTACTTCCAGTCCTGACCTATAAAAAGGTCCTAGAGGCCCTTATAGGCTCCCCTCCCCTTTCTTGCAGCTCAAAGTGAAGCACCCTGAGAGCTCAGAATCATAGGATGGAATAGAGACAGGAACCTTGAGTCATCACTCAGAGGCCCAGGAGATCCATCCAATAAGTGGTGATGAGCTGGTAAATGTCGAACAATCAGCTTTTGGTGGTAGAGATGGGGGATTCTCTTGGTAGCACTTGTCAGTTTCTATAATGAAGTGCTCCCACTCTGGCTGAATTTAGGTAACCAATGTGATGTCACAGTGTGACCACAAAATTGGGAGGAGACACACAACCAGTTCTCATGAGCCATAATGAATCAGCTCTACCATGCCACAGCCCCCAGCCCACATTCAACTTTGTCGTCATTGAGAATTAAAGAAATAAACATATTGGGTTTAGCCTCTGAGATTTGAGGGTGGCTGGTGGTAACAACTAGACAGAGCCACCTTAACTAATATAATCTGCTACTTGGAAAAATAGGAGAAACAATCTATTTCATTTTAGCACAGCTATTATGTCAAAAATTGGACAATGTAACAGAAGAAAGAAAACAGGCCTTTGTAAAATATGAACAATAAAAAATTGTCTTACATATTCTTAAACATTCTTAAACAAAAATCTAATTAATCAGACAACAAATACTTGTGTGAAAGTTGAATTTATTATAAGAATGCAAGAATGGATTAGAAGTGCAAACTCCATTATAATTTGTCACAGTAAGTTCTAGGAGGAAAATCATATTATCATTGTAGTAAATCTTGAAACAGAAACATTCATTTTTTATGTTAATGCAAAATTAAGACTCATGCTACTAAGTGGATACTTCCATGACACAGGGAAGAATATGGATAATAAATCAATAGCCAATATCATAATTTGCACAGGAAACATGAGAATTCAGAAAGAATACCAGGATGTTCACTCTTTCTTATTTTATTTGTCATGATTTAAGTTTTAGCTTTGCAAATTAGCCAAAAAAAAATTGAAATTAAGGTAACTCTTAGGAAGAAAGAAGAAAAAAAATTCTTCATGCTTACTACTGTGCATTCAGAAAATGCTGATTTATGGAAAATCTTTTAAAATAAATATATATGGAAAAGGCACAAATAACAATTGTATCTTGTCCAGTGATTTTCAGGCCTGGAAGTCACTGGAATGGAATTGGAGGATGTAAGATCTTTTTACATATCCTCCTGAAAATGCAGTTGGACACGAGAGTAATTACCTGAAGAGGTATCTTTCATTGATTCTCTGTTCTCTCTTCCTAGTCTGTGCATTGTATTCTCTTCCTAAGTTTTTCATGAACATAAACATGCAGCCCTTGTCATCTGCTTAATAGGAGGAGAATAAAAATCGCAATGAAAATATTCTGCAAAAGTCTCTATTTTTACCTCCAGTTCATTCTTCAAAAAATTCCATTCTAGCTTCTTTCCCATAGATATTCCTGATCCTGTGCTGGTCCAAATGAACAACTACATTCACAGATCCAGATCCAACATTTCTTTTTCTGACTTGTCATATGGCCTCCAAGTGGCATTAAAGACAGTTACTGATGCAAATAGTCACTCACATTTTCTCACAAGACTGTCTAGGTCGATGTCTCTGCTTTTCCCTTGGTTTCACACCATATTATCTCTTGGCATGCTTTCTGGGCAGAAGAAAGCCCCTAACATTGAAAATTTGTTACAGTGGGTTACCGGTACAATAAAAAATAGTGTAAATTAATAAATTTAAAAGGAGGTGGCATTATATATAGATAGTAGAGCTCAGAGAGTGACTTAAAATTATGTTAGGCTGAAGCACTGGGCATTTCATAAAATGTACACTGTAAGTAAAGTTTGATTTAAATTATATTGAATTAGTAAGTGTCCCTCATGGGGATGGCATATGTTCTCTGTACTAGAGAGAGAAAGGGGACAGAGAAAATATGGTATAACAGTGTTGCTGATCTGCATCCTCATTTTGGTGAGATATACCAGGCAGGAAAACAGAAAGTTCCCAAAAGAGAAGACAGCAATTCTGGCTGCTCCATATTGTCTGACCTCATGAACCTAAAGCCAAATGCTTGTTTTTGTTCTGTCGTGGACTTTGAGTTCTCATCATGCCCAGGACACACAGATAAGTGGCCTTTTGTGCAGGTACCACCATAAACACCCTTCCCATTCCACCATGGCCACCTCTCAGATTCTCATTTCTGCTATAGCCTGATCTCTTTTTCTTACCTTCTTTCGCAGCAGCATATTCTCTCACTCAGATGAAAAAATTCACCAAAAAACTGTGCAGTGTGGCCACATGGAATGACAATAGTGTTCAGAAGGCATTGGGAGCTTCAGGGATTTTTCTGTATAGCAAGTTCTGGGTAAGGCATTAGAAACCAAAGCAGGGCAGATAGAATCCTAGTCCTGGAGAATGTAACCACATAATAGTGAAGACTAGACACATATCTATAAGAAGACTACCCACGCAAAGAAACACCAACAAAACTTCATGTACTGTCAGTGTCCACCTAGAAAATGAACAGGATTGCCATGTAGGACACCAAAGGAAGTTGCCTAGAAAGATGGGGCTTCAGCTGCACTTGAAAGATGTATAGGATTTGTAAACGTGGTGAAGAAGGAGAAAAGATTCTGGTGAAAAGGACAGGGCCTGTACTGACTGCTGCTCCTATCAAGTTGGCCATTCAAGAAGCTTTCCATTCCCTGGAAAGAAGGCTCATGTTTGACCACACAAAAAATTCACTTTTTGAATTCGAGGTGGTACAGGTCTGAAGGTAGCCTATAGCTGGGCTCCTAACTGTGATAAAACTGGATCTCTCTTCTCAACCAATTAACTTTTTTCTCTCATAATTGTTCCTGGTGTGATTCCTACCATGCAATCTGTGTAATACTGTTCTGGTGGAAGATACATGTTTTGTATCAAAATCAATTGCTGCTTATTACTGCTTGTCATGGCTCTCAAACCCCAACTATGTTCTGGAAAGCTTGTGCATGACTTACAATTTGTAAACCAAAAGAGAAAGCTACAAAGTAATTAGCCACCAACAAAACATGGGCAATGACCCACCAGAATGGACCCCAGCTCATACTGGCTGCATACCGACCTCTAAGGGTGAACACCACCAAGCCCCAGTTCCCACTCATATTCTTCATAGACTGAGCATTCAGTACTAGTTGTTTGGGATGCCATGACTGTATGCCATGTATGCACCTTTAGAGACTAATTTTCCCAGAGAACACTTGCTACCCCAACTTTTCCTCCTGTAGCAAATTCCTTATCCACACCTACAGAAGGAATGGTCTAGACATCTCAACAACCAGTCTACACTTCACTCCGTATACAATTTCCCAGGCCTAGCAAAGTTACAACTGTGAAAGCTATTCTCACTTCTTTCACTTTCTTGGAATGAAAACTCTAGCCCCCTCCCCACCACCGTTGTCTACATATCATTGTACAAGAAACTCCACTTACAGTGACATCCATCCCCAAAGACTTAATCTCATACAAAATCCCACTTTATCCACCATCCAATTCTATTGAACAGCTTTAATGATGTAATGTATGAGTCTTCCTATCAGTAACCAGGATGATTGGCTCTTAGATTCTTCATATTCATTACAGTGCAAGAATTATCATAAAGGGTTTAAACTCTAAAGCCATCTTCTTAGGGCTTCCCACCCACCTCACCCTGCAACTGTTGATATAGAGTAAGGCTTTGCC